ACTAGAGAAATATATAGAGCTTACTAAAAAAATTTTAGAGAAAGAGGTATACTAGTATTAAAAAAAGCAAAGTTCTAATCTTTAAGATAAAGTGTCTTAACAAGTTATTACTAACTAAAGATCTCTGTTTCTAAAAAAATTCTAGTCTATATAAGAGTAAAACTTGTATAGCATACTTTGTAAAGGAAAAATCTTTAAAACACATTGTGAAATACTAGATATATCAAAGAATTTGAAAAAAGATTGAAGGTTTTATTATAGAAGAGCTGAGTATAAAGCTTAATAACAAATAGAATTTCATAAGAAGAAATAGCAACACCAACTTGGCTTAGTAGCTAACTAAATTTGAGAAGATTTATCTTATAAAATATTTAAAAGACTACTAGTAAAGAGCTACAGTAAGAACTGAGTTTGTACAAACATTAATAAGAATACAAATCTCTAATTAGACTATAAAATAAGTATAGAATATTCTGGAGTAGAAGCCTAGTTCATAAGTAAAGTAGCTCATAGTTTTGAATATACTATATATTTAAGTTAGTATTATAGAAAAAGTATTAAAAATTAGAAAGCTTAATTAGAAGATTCACAAGCAAATCTTAGGTATAGCAGTTAGTAGGTAACCTTTGAGCAGAATCTTTAAATAGATAATGACTAAAATTATATATGTAGCTAAATATGGTTTCATTAATATGCAAAATATGATATCTCTCTATCTAAATATAGATTTGTAAGTTTTAAATAAATAAATATCAAAACATAGAACTCCCTCTTTAAACTAAAAAAAAAATTAATATATTATCTTATAGTAAAAAGACTATAATACAAATAAAAAAAAACTAAACAACAAAATAATTTAAATTAATTAATTAAAAAAAATTTATTAGATCTTAGTTCTAAATAACAATAGTATTTATATAAACAAATAAAAAATTATATACAAAATCTAAATAAAAATGATAATCTTTATATAATATCTACTATATCTAAATTAACAAAATTAAAAAAATAGAGTAGTCACAAATTGATACTAGATATAGTAATTAGTAGATAACTTTCAGATAGAATCTTTAAATAGATAATGATTAAAGTTGTATATATAACTAATTGTACTCTCACTAACTAATATAAACCTACAAATAATCTAATAAAAATTAACTAGTATCAAGGCCTTGTAACAATAAAAAAAAAATAAAAAAATAAATTATAATATTTAATATTTTATAATAGAAAATATAAATTAAAATAATAAACTAGGTTTGGTGATCTTAGTATAGTGGTTAGATTACTAGACTGCTATGCAAGAGGTCTGAGGTTCAAATCCTACTATCAATGAATTTAAATAATTACCCAGATCTTTGTACCTAACTTATAGTAAACTCTGCTCATTTCTGGAGGTTACAACTCTGTAAATTATGTTGTACCAATGTCAATCAGACATTGGAAGTGTGATGCAATGCTCAAGTTATGTTATGTAAATAAATCTTGATAGGATCTACAGACAGAGGACTTGCATAGTAAAAATCCTGAGTTTGGTGAAGTAGTATAGATTTCGATAGTTAAGCTAATTAATGTCTGATCCAGTAAAAAACTTGAGTATGAAGGATGTGAGATCAATAGGTGCTAGTAAGTCTACTATGTAATGCAGCCTGGTGCCTTGCATTAGCAGCAATACTAACTTGGCTTAGCAGCTAACTAGATTGGGAGGATCTACTTCATGAAATATTTAGCTAGAACTTGGAGGACTATATCTGATAGACAGCCACAGCAGGAACTAGGTTTGTACTAATATTGACAAGGGTCTAATTCAGATAAATCTGTGAAATGAGTATATGACCACTCTAGTAGAAATTACTTCTGAGGTTAACTAGAGCTCTGCAGCTTACAATATATTAGGCATACACATCCCAAGAGAACCTAAGCTATGCAGAGAATAGATCTACAGGTAAACTAGCTAGCTTAAGCAGTTGGTCATAGTGATAATATTAGTTTGAGATAGGGTAAAGAGTTAATGATCAGAGTGTTTAAATAGGTAACTCACAGGCAGGTTGCAGATATGGCAGTATAGTATAGAACTAACAGATAGTCGATTATCTGTATGGCAGACTACTTAAATTAGACAATGACTAAAGTTGTACATGTAGCTTATTGTACACTCATTATGAAACTGTAAAACCTTAAGAAACTATTCATGTGATAGTTCCATAATAACAAACTAATAAAATCTAATCAGTCAAGGAAGTAGCCTTAATAACAAAAAAAATAAAATAATAAACTAAAAAAATAATAATAATTTGTAAACTAAAATCTTAATTATTAAATTTTATATTTTAAAAATAAATTTAAAATTTTTAAATTTTATAAATTATAATTATCTTTTAGACTATATTCTAAGTAAATTTGCTTAGAAAATTAAAGAGTAAATACTATTTTTTAAATAATTTAATAAAATATTAATGATATAAAGTCTATATTATATATAGAATATATTGTTAAAAATATATTCTATAAACTTTATTAGGAACTTTTTTTATTTTTACTAAGTATTTTTTAAATAATAAATTTTTAAAATTTATATTAAAAAATTTTTTATAATTAATTTTTTTTTAAAATTTTTAAAATTTTATATGTTTTTAAAGCAAAAAAAAATTTTTAGCTCTAAGGCAAATTCAAATTTTTATAATTAAATTATAAAAATTATAATAATTAAAGTTCTTTTTCTTGATAAATTCTATATAATCCTAATTTTTAAAAAAACAAATAGCTAATATTTAATGAGTTTGCTAAAAATAAGTAATAAAATTTTTTGAATAAAAAATTTTTTTTCAAGTTATCTAACTTTAGTATATAGACAACTTATATTTTTTTTTTAAAATAAAGATAAATATTACAATTATATAATTCTTATTTTCAAATATTATCAAAAAAATTTTTGTTTTTTTTTTTTATTTTTATTTTTAAGATGGCTTACATTGTTAGGTAATTTTTATTAGTTTGATATATAAGATTATACATGAGCAATCTCTATAGTTTGTAATTACATGAAGAGTATACAACAAGCCATATATACAACTTTAGTCATTATCTAATTTAAGTAGTTCACTGCATAGGTGATAGACTACCTGATTAGTTCTACACTATACTGCTATACCTGTAACCTGCCTGTGAGTTACCTATTTAAACACTCTGTTCAACTAACTCATACTATTACAAGCTAATATTACTGTAACATCTAACTACTTAAGCCAACTAGCTTGTTATAGATCTATTTTTCAACTTTAGCTTAGGTCCTCTCAGGATACTTATTGCTTAACATATTGTAAGCTTGTAGAGCTTTGGTTAACTTCAAAGCAAATTTACTAGAGTAGTTCATGCTTATTTCATAGATTCATCTAGCTTAGACTTTTGTAGATATTCATACAACTCTAGTTTCTACTGTAGCTTTCCACTGGTTTTTTGTTTGCTGATCTCTTCAGATGTTTTACAAGGTAGATCCTCCTAATCTAGTTAGCCACCAAGCTAGATTAGTGTTGCTAATCCTCCTTGTAGAACAGACTTACTTGCATCTCTCTTAATCTATATTTTCAGAGCAATAGTTTCTTTTCTAGATTAAGCGTTAGCTGGTATGACCATTAAAAGTTGTGCTACTTCACCAACTCAAGATTTCTACTATGCAGGTTCTCTGTTCATAGAATCTATCAAAATTTATTCATATAATGTTACATCTCTTCAAATATCTCATCACACTTCTAATATCTGAATAATATTAGTGCAATATGATTTACAGAGTTACAACCCTAGAAATGAACAGGGTTTACCATAAATCAAAAAAAAAAAAAAATTTTGTTTAAATATATTAATTTTATAAAAATATAGATCATTAGTATTATTATACAAATTTTCTAGACAAGTTTGTTTGAAATAGCTTACAGATTAAGAGATAATAAATTATAATTAAAATAATAATAAAATATATAAATTTATATAAATTTATTTAATAAATTAAAAAATTTAATTTTATTTTAAGTTTGAAACAAATCTTTAATTATAATAAATTTATTTTAAAAATTTTTTTTTTTTTTTTTTTATAAATTCTAGTAGATTAGGTTTAAAACTATATGGTAGTTTTTGAATCAAATCTACTAGAATCTACAAAAAAATCTTTATTCTATAATATTTAATTAAATAATAAAAAAATTTTTTTCTATTAGAAATTTTTAAATCTAATTCACTAAAATCTCTAACAACAAGTACTAGAAGTATTTGAACTAATTTACTAAAATTTAGAAAACCTTTATTACTAGTAGTTATTGAATTAAATTTACTGAAATTTAAGAGACTTTTATTAAACTATATTTACTAGAATTTAGAAAAAGACTTTTGCTAGTAGTTTTAAACCAAATTCACAAAAATTTAAATAATTTTAATTACTTTTGCTAATTTGTCATATACTTTTAACTCATATATAACTGTTATAATCAACTAATAAAAACATTATATCTATTAAAATTATTACTTTAATAACAAACACTAAAAGTATTTGAACTAATTCACTAGAATTTAAAAAAACCTTTGTTATTAAACCAAATCTACTTGAGTTTAAGATTTTTATTACCAAAATTCTAATCTACTTGAAATCAAAAAAATAATTCTTTAGTGGTAATAAAATACTTTTGCTAAACTATATCTACTAAAATTCAAAAAAACTTTTGCTAATAGTTTTAAACCAAATCTACAAAAATTTAAATAATTTTAATTATCACCAATTTGTTATGTGTCTCTAACTCATATATAACTATCATAACCAACTAATATAAATATTACGTCTATTAAGATTATTACTCCGATAGCAAATACAAGAAGTATTTGAACTAATTCATTAGAATTTAGCATACAATAACTATAATTTATAATCATACTGGCATTTTAATCAATTCTAACTTTATATTTTATTACGTATTAGTGTATAAATACAATTTATATCTAAATATAATTAAGAATTAAACTGTTACAAAATCATTAGTAAGACCAGACATCCTACGTTCTGATAAAATCATATATTTTTGTTGTTCCTGAGGATCTTCAGAGTTCACGACATCTGGGTGACGAATAGCAGAAAGATGACGTAGGACATCCTTTTTAGTAATTAAACCAAGAAGTTGTCCATTTTGAGTAACTAAAATGTAGCGGAGACCCTGAAGCGTTTAAAATATATGAATATGTATTTTGAAATATTGTTATGTAGTCAGTTTTAAACAAGATTACTTATAAGCTTATTATTTCAAAAGCCAAAACTTACCATTTTTTTAAATAATTCTATTGTCATTTCCATTGGAAATTTGGGAGATATAGTAATTGGTGTCTTAAACATAAAAATATGAATCAATACATGTACATGATAGCTTGATGTTTAAGTTTAAAAATATTACCTGATCCATCCATGGTTTAAAATCGATGAAAGCAGTTGAGTCAAGAATTGGAAGATTACTAGAGAAATAGCAGGGACTAGATAATAAAATTCCTGGCTTTTTTTTTGCTTTGTCTGTTAAATTATTGTTTACATAATTGTCATCAGTAAATATTTATTAACATCAACACAATGTCAATCTTACCCATTGCATATCGCAGCTCCGAACGCGATATATATCCAGTAAGTAGCATATTCCTTAAATTGTTGACCACAGGAAAACCTTTATAATCTGTTTCGTTAAGTAATTCATCTAAACGCACATTCATAAAAATTACATCAATGAATAGTATTATAATATTTTAATCAGAAAATATGTAAGTCTTTTATACCTAAACTATCTAAAGTATGCCCTGTGGCCGTTATTACCATCAGGTCTTCTACTCTAGTCATATATTGAGAGGCTAATGTGTTATACACATAATCTTCTTTGCTATCCAGGAACGGATATTCATTGATACGTATCCATCCATCATAAATTCCTTCCTTATCAAACGCATCGCCAACCCATTTACTTATCATTACTGATTAAATTTAATAATAAGATTAACAAAACAACTTTCATAAAGAAATTATTTTTTATTATTTCCATACCAGCAATCATAATAGGCAGAACATAAGTCAATGCACCAGTAAGTTCAAACATAATGACAACAAGTGATACTAAAATGACATGATTGTTTATAAATTAATTAAAAAAAAAGGTTGAAAATAATTTTTGATCTGATAAATCTGTGAAATCAATTTTACCTGTCATGCGTGTGACTCCTCCAAAGGTAGCAGCTGCACCGACCATGGCATACATCCCCGGTGTGATACATTGAACATCAGGTTCGCATGATGCAAAAAGCCAAAATCCGGGATTATATCTGAAAAAAAAAAAAAAAAAAATTTCAACATAAATAAAAATCTTAGAATTAAAATCATTAATAGTAATAAATAATTTACTTGTGCCAAGCATGAACAATCAATCCAACTGCTCTGCCAAAGCAGGCACCTATTGCTATTGATGGCAACCACACACCAGCTGGAACTTTCAAACCAAACGTTACTATGGTAAGAAAGAATTTTAAAAATGATGCAATTAAAAGCAATAAAGTTGGTTCCCAGTGATTGTTATAACTTCAGGTTATGATATATATAGTATTAATATTTCTCGAATATGATTACTTAAATAAAATGTGAAAGTAAAGACTGGTTCTTACTTGCATAAATTATGATAATCTCCTCCCTCGCACTCGCGAAAGAGATTCGCAACTAGTTCGGATGGATTGACCCTTAATAAAATAAGCGAGATATTAGAAATGAGGAATGTTATATGTGTTTAGCAAACCTTGAGAAAATAAATGAATTATATATTACCTCATATAAATGTTTAAATAACTCACAATCGAAGTAAAAAGGGAAATAATTACTACTTCCTGTACACTAAAATGACGTAACCATGAGTTTTGGCGGAAAACAGCAACTTTTAGATTCATACGAATGAACAAAGCACCATAAAGACCCTAAATTATGTGGTTTAAGTGTAGGTTAAATATTTATTGCATGCATTCATGAACCTAATTGACGACTTTAATAAACACAACATACGCCCAATATACCCAACAACGCAAAAAAGAACAGCTCAAATCCATGCCATTCTCTATCGTAAACAACCTGGAAAAGTACAAGTTTGCCTGTTCTATACGGATTCATAGACTAGATAACATATTAAAGATTACATAAAAAGTAGTAGAGACGATTTTTTGATTAAAAAATTATATTGGAGGTAATTTAATAATGTGAAATATTGTTACACATAAAACTTACTGCTAGAGTTACCGCTGCAACCATAGCACAAAAAAAACTTCGCCACATAGTTCTGAATGGAAAATAATATGATACTTCCTAATTGTATACGCGTTAATCTCCAAAAAGTTCAAATTATAAAATTGTTTCATATAACTATTTATATGTAAACACTAATTACCTCTAAACTGAATAGAACTCCTCCAATTGGTGCACCGAAAGCTACGGAAACACCAGCAGCAGCTGCAGCAGACAATATTTCTCGCTTTTTAGCTATAGAAGATGCAAACTTATTTTCAACATCGAAAATTATATCTAGAATGCGCGAAACGGTGAAGACGAATAGTTATTACATACATTATCCTACCTTCATTGTACCTAAATTTTGGAAAAATTCGAGGAATGATGTTTCCACAACAACAAGCTAGATGAATTAGTGGACCTTCTTTACCTAAACATAGGCTTGAGGCAGCGACAAGGCACTGAAAAATGTCGAATGTAAACTCTAAGATGATTTAATCATAAGACTTGTAGCAAGAGAAATTTAATAACCTACCACGCCTATACTTTTAATAATTAGAGTCCACCAACCCAAAAATTTTCTGATAACAAAACCACCAAGGATAGTCTTGATCTCGGGTATACCACTACCAGAAGAATAAAGAGAATAACATTTTACAAGGTAGGCTGCTATTGTAGCAAAAGTTGTCTGAAAAGCCGTGAAATTAAGTTATAGCATCATATAACTATTGGAAATAACTTCAACCAACGACTTACAGAAAATATTATATAAAATAAATAATTTGTCCAAAATTCTGCAGCAGCAGACTTTGCTTGAAGAGCGGTATTCCACCTCACCCATTCCACGCATGAATCACGATCATCTAAAAAAATTGGCATAATTTCCAAATTCAGCACTTTATTGGATACCTTCATAACTTATTCGCGTGAATTATTTGATATAGTGATATTGACAATACCATCGTAACCCCAACAACAATTTTTTCTGTTTAGATAAAATGCAGGTTTACAATACCCTTCTTTTATATCACTAAGCCACTCAGATGTTATGTCAATAACGGCAGCAAGAATACCGGATATAACTCCTATAAATGTATAGTTAGGATTTTTTTTGCCTAGAATTTAGATAATTTGAAGAAAATAACGTACCAACAATTAAGACAACGATCCAACCCTCCATTGCGTCAAAAATAAGTTTTAATCGGCCTCCTATACCTTTCTGTTGTCGTAATTTTCTTTGGCGCGCACGCTCTTTAGCAAAATCATGGATCCAATCTTTTAGAATTTATTTATACATTAATTAATCAAGTAATAAATTAGACATAGTGACTTTGGTAACAGAAAATATTCACGCACTTAAAAATAAACGAATAGCGTGTCAGCAGACCTATTGTAGTAAAATCATCATAAGCGACTCTTCTTCCTGTACCCTCCATCGACCAATCTGCAATATCCCCGTCAAATTCATCGTCGTTATATTTTTTTAAACTTGTAGAAGTATGACCAGCCTCAGAATTATATTTCTTTTTCATTGGTGATTCAGGTCGTGAAAAAATACGACTACTTGTTGCTCGTGTTGAATGTTTACGTTTAAATGTAAAGTCGTCCAAACCGGTTCTATTTTGTGAAGGAAATTTTATTGATCAAAGACAATAGACCAGATAAATTTTCATAGATATTCATCCGAGAAAGGATCATTTATGTCTAAAGGAAAAATGTCATGAACGACCTAACACCGAAAGCCAATGGGAGATCGATGTTAGAAGCTCCCGCAATAAACGGCTACCTACAACTTCGTTTTCAATGATTCTGCTGCCGAGAGTGTCAGTTGATCGAATTCTTCTGCACGACTATCAAAAACCGGTGAAGATTCCTGTGATTCATCTGAGAGTGTGAAATCTTTAACATCGTTAACATTTGAGGCGTTAGCGTGAACATATGGTTTCGAGCTACCAACGGTGGTTGAAGTGGACTGTGACGAATTGTCAAGACCTTCCATTATAAACTTGTGAATAAGATAGTCGGATTATCATCAAAGCATAACAGAAGTTCACTTGATTGGTTATTAAAATACTACGTAGTACCGTACGCTACTAACTAGCATAGCGGACATTCGATTTTATTGGCTCATAAAACCCTGAGTCACACAATATAAAAAAATTTTTTTAAAGTAAACTTTACTATGAAAAGCCACTTCGTCAATTGGCAACTTTCGGTTTTACAAAGTAAAGTTTAACCAAAACGTTTTATAGGTTTCTTTTACTCTCAAGATATCTATTAAGCAAAAGTGATTTTTATCGATTTCTATTATTAAAAACTTTGCTTAGAGGAAAACTTTTAATAAGACAAGTATAGTAATAAGTATATACAAGTTAAAATTCAGCTTGTTAAGTAAAAATAAAAATAGAATAAAGTCAAAAGTAATGATTTAGAAAGGCATAATACTATAATATAAATGTAATATATAACTTAAGATCTTAGTTTATCAAAATAATATTTATTATATATTGTAAAAATTCTAAAACAATCAGCTAATTATATTTATTTTATTTTATTTATTTATTTATTTTTTTATTTTTTTTTTTTACTTAAGTGATCTTATCTTTTATTTTATTAGAAGAAATATTTAAAAGTATTTAGATAGGTTTGGTGATCTTAGTGTAGTGGTTAGATTGCCAGATCGCTATGCAAGAGGTTTAGGGTTCAAATCCCACTGTCGACAAAATTGAATAATAACCTAGATATCTGTATTCAACTTATGGTAAACTCTACTCGTTTCTGGGGTTATAACTCTGTAAATCATGTTGTACTAATGCCAATTGGGGTATTGGAAGTGTGACAGGTATTGGAGAGAGTGTAATGTTATACAAGTAAATCTTGATAAAATCTACAGGCAGAGGACCTGCATGGTAGAAATCCCGAGTTAGGTAAAGTAATACGGATTTTGATAGTCATACCAGTTAACATCTGATCTGGAAAAGGAAATCTGCATATGAAAAGATCAGTGAAATAGATACAAGTAAGTCCTGAGTACAGAAGGATCGACAAAACAGGTGCGAGTAAGTCTATTACATAAGGTCATATAGCAACACCAACCTGGCTTAGCAGCTAACTGGATTTGAAAGAATCTGTCTTATGTGATATCCGGTGACAAAGCAGGCAACACCAAGTAACAGATTTGAGAGGATCTACTTCATATTATATCTGGAAATATGGATAACTAACTTAGTGGAAGACCACAGTAGGAACTAGGTTTGTACGAACATCAAACAAGGGTATATGCAAGCTAGATTGTAATATAGCGTAGCATATTTGGGTACCACAGCACCCATCGATTAGGAAGTTGGTGAAGGAGGTACCTGAGATGGGCCTAGGCTTCGAATCATAAAGTTTGTGAATTCATGTCAGCTCTGTTGATGTCTTCTGAAAATGGAAGTAGTACAGAGTTAGATGAATTTAGGTAATAAATGATAGAGGATAGGAATGGCATATAGCCAGAGAGTTTAAATAAGGAATTTTCAAATAAATTTCAGGTATGGCAGCTAGTGTAGAACCTTCAGACGGACTACTTAAATTAGATAATTTAAAGTTGTATGTGTGGCTAGTTGTACTCTCACATATGTAATCATTGCTCAAAACTATCTATACCAATAAAAATCTTGCCGATGGCATGTTTATCAAGTAAAAAAAAAAAAAAAAAAAAAAAAAAAAAAGTATTTAAATAAATACATAAAACTAAGACTAAATTATTCTAATTTTATAACTGCTTTTCTTATTGCAATTCTGAACTCACTCAGCTATCAAATTAATACTTAAATACGATCTGTTACAGTAGTATTTTTTTTTCCTGAAACTAAATACATGTTTAAACATGTTTATTTAGTCTTGATTAGCAGAAAGCTACTACTAACCCTTATCAAGAAAGCCTACTTGTTTTTAAATTTCAACTACTTCTCATAATACATATTTTTAATTCATTTTGAGATTTAGTTATTTGATTTTTTTAAGATTTTTTAGCTTTTTTTTGCTAAAGTTTCTTTTTTATAAAGTCTTTTAATATTATTGTTTTTCTTATTTTTTGATCTAGTTTTCAGCTACTTCTTTTTTTCCATCTTTTTTCTTGTACTAATTTAGTTTTCTTTCTCCTAACCTATCATTACTTCACAACTAAATTTCTATATTTTTTCATAAAAGTTTGACCAGAAGATATCAATAAACTAACAGATTATTCAGTTAGTTTTGGATCTAGAACTCAAAAGTACTTTAATTTCATTGTTTTGTTTCTTACTTATAAGGCTCTGAAGATGTAGCTTTTTTTTTTTTAGCTTATCTTCTATATTTGTATCTAAGAATACATTCACTAGACTGATATTTGAGATCAATATATTTTATTCCTTGAGTATCTTGAGTTTTAGCTCTTCTAAGACTACTACTTCTATATATTTTCAGATTTTTTAATAGATTTTATATATAGCTAGATAATCAAAGGTTTTCTCTGTTCTGTAACATGCTATATATGTTTTGTTTTTGTATAGTTTTAGCTTTTTTTAGTAGTATATGTCTCATGTTAGCAATAATTTGTTTAGACATTTTATTCTAAACATTAAAGCTTTACTTTTCTTAAGACTATTGTAACTTTTGCCTTAATATTTCTTTAATATATTTTATATATTTAGCTAGTTTAGAGCTTTATTAGAGTTAGCCTCTAGTTTTAAACTTAATAAATTATTTATATTATTTAGTTTAGTTTATTTTGTTTTGTATATTATGACTATTGTAATATTTATGAAGGATCTAATTAAGCAGTTAATTAGACTATCCTTTTACTTAGACAAAACTCTAATTTTATTAGTATCTATATCTCTTAGTTTAATTATTTTCTGTGAGCTGAGGTCTAGTTTTACAAGCTCATCAGCTCTTTTGTTCTAAGAGTTTCTACTATAGTCTTTAATCTTAATAAGCTCAAGTTTAATATTTTTTGCCTTATAACATTTGTTTATCTGTCTTACTAGACTTCAGTTCTTGGTTTTAAATAATTTTCAAATATTGTTTAAGGTTTTGTTATTTGAGATTCTTTTGATTGCTACCTTGCTATTTGAGAAGATCTTTACTTGAGCATCATAAGAAACTGCTAAGATTACTATTCAGATTGTACTAAACTCTGCTCAAATTTAGAAGGACTAGTTAACTATTCTACTACTAAAGCTTATATCATTTAATCTACTATTATTTTTACTAGCTATTACTTAATTAATTTTTATTTTTTTCTTTTTCGTATTTTCAGTCTCTTCACAAACTAATGAACTATCTGTAAAAATTTCTAATACTTTTCTTCCTCTTAGTTTCTCTACTATCTTAATCAGTTCTTCTTGTATCTTCTTGTCTTTAATTACTCTTTGAATAATTGCTTCTTCTATACTTAGTAGCTTTATTCATATATTATTCTGCATTTCAAGTTCTGCTCTAGAATATAGCTTAGCTTTTTTTATATTAGCTAATAGTAGTAGTTTTAAAACTACTAATTCTGTTTTGTCTTTTACTACTTTGCTTAAGACTTGGTGCTACTTGCTTGTGAGTTTGCTAACTAAATATTTATAACTATTTTTCTTACCCAAACTGTACTTTTTATATTTTACTAAGTTTAGTTGAAGTACGTTATTAGGATCTTCTATTTTCTAATATGCTAATGAGAATTTTTCTTTAGTTTTTTTGAAAACTCTTCTAATTATTAGAGTATTCCTTTCTTTTAAAACAATCTATTTTTTTTTTTTTTTATCAGTACTTATCTTTTGTTTATTTATTTTATTTTTTTCAAGATATAATTAAAGATTTAGAGGTTTATATATTTGTATAACTATATACTATTTTGTTTTTTTTGTTTTTTTTTATTAAAGATAGCTTATATTGTCAAAAGAATTTTATTAGAGTTGCAAACAGGATTATACATTAATAATTCTTACTATTTGTAATTATATAAAAAGTATATAATAAGCTACACATATAACTTTAGTTATTATCTATTTTAAATAGTTTGTCATATAGACATTAGACTACCTGATTAGTTCTATACTATACTGCTATATCTGTAACTTATTTATAAGTTATCTATTTAAACACTCTGTTTATTAACCTATACAGATTCAATCTAACATTACTACAATACCTAACTACTTAAGCTAGCTAGCTTGTTACAGATTTATTTATTCAGAATGGCTTAAGCTCTCTCAAGATATATTATATTAGATATATTGCTAATATTGCAAAGTTAGTTAATCTTAAAGCAAACTTACTAGAGTAGTTTGTACTCATTTTACAGATTTATCTAACTTAAACTCTTGTAGATATTTATACAACTCTGGATTCTACTATAGTCTTCTACTAGTTAATCAATTTAGTCCTTTTCTAGTATCTAGCTAGTTCTGATTACCCTTATTCAAAAACCTTAAAACCTTTTACTTTTATTAGATAGAGTTTTCTTCTTAGATCAAACTTTAACTAATATAGTTCTGTCAGAAGGCTATATTACTTTACTAACTCAGAATTTCTACTATGCAAATTTCCTGCTTATCTATCTTATTTTTTTTTTCTTTTAACAGTCATATCATAAACTTTATTAAGTTGCTAACCATAGCCGTAGCCAAGTTACATATGATTTTTCAATCAACCTAATTTCCTAAGCTTAACATCACCTAGCTACTACTAGAGTACTCAGGTACAACCTGTTATACTAGTTCAAAGAAGACTAGAGAACTGTATCTAACTCTCTTACGCCCCACAATTAGCTACTATCTGACTGATAATAATCTTTCGTAGAGGGAAAAAAAAGCTAACCTGACAGTTTTTAACTCTCTTTTGTTAGATTTCGCTAACAGAAAAAAATACAAAAACTAATACAAATATATAAAAATTATAGGAGTAGATCTACTACTTAGCCTAATCTCCTATTTATATAAATAAAAAGTCAAAATGTAAAATAAAACAAAAACAAGAAAAAAAAAG